AAACAGTAATGAATAAGCAACTTTTATAATCTTTACCTGGTGCAAACCATACTCATGCAAATAAAGCTAGTTCTTGACTTATGATCCCAACTGAGTCTTAAAATTTCCATTGTAAAGCAATGATGTTGTTAAGTGAATTGTGCCTCATTTTATGAGCTTTTTATGCTACAATTGTTAAGTGAATCATTTCATTTGTTAGGGAATCATGTAGTTGGTAAGTGAATTTGGCTTCCTCATTGACTTTGCTGGTTGGAAACTGGTTGGGAAGGTCACAAATGGTGAACACATGACTCCAGGAGAGTAATCCCATCAATAAGGGTCCAAATTTTGATTACGTAATCATGGCGATGGATTGTCTTCTCCCAAAAATATCCTTCTACCCTATGTACTTCCATGTTGTGGGTATTCTTGGAAATAAATTTAGGGTTTCAGGTTGGGATCATGGGCATACTGAAACTTTTGAAGAACACAGTTTCACAGAGTTAAACATTTGTGACCCAGAAAAGTACAGACAGCTCACTATATTCTCACCATATTTCTGTATTGATATTTCTTTGAGGCTGAATAATTAAGACTCTTGTCAAGCATTGGACAAACTATAAAAATAACTTGGTAGATAAAGAGTAACTTCCTGAGTTAGTATTGTACATAACTGACCAGGATAGTACTAATACGCTAAAATTAGCCCAGCTCGAGAACCTGACTCACAGTCCCAACTCATTACTTTCAAGCCACTCATAACACAATGTAAATAAAAAAGGTACAGCTTCCAAAACTTACATGCAGTTGGACTGACTTCTGGTGAAGAGATTACTGGATTAGTCACCTTTTCCTTATAAGTAGCTGTTCTTTCTCGCATTTTTTGGACAATATCTTGCAGCTGTATTTGTGCATATTCATTGATAATGATTTCCGGTGGTTTATTTTCTGGGCTGTTTATGGGGGTGCAAGTGGTAGGGCAATGATTAAGATCCTTGAAAAAAATGACTATATCTATATATTTAGATAAAGCTAAAAGTATCTAGTAATAACACAGATGGTTCCTTATCTTGAGAGTGGAATAATTTCATTATTAAAAGAGCAGACACTGCAGAAGTAAAATGTTAGAGATCTTGCTTACTCTATATAGGAAACATATGCTCAAGTGAGACAGCATAGCCTCATCCCTGCCAATAGATTTGTACCTTTGGCTATGCTAAAGAACCAATTTCTCTATACCATAAATTATGTGGACCATTTCTCATTCTTACATAGTTACCGGCAGAAGCCAAAATTCTTTCCTCTCATTATTCAATGTGCAACCTTTCAGCTTTTCTTTTGCATCCAATAAGCCTAAACAGGCCAATTTAAACATTGTATGAAAAAATAATTGGCCACTGATTCAAAGAAAGCACACTTGTCATCAACTGCATTCAAAAGTATCAGTATATCACTATTACATTTGTCTTTTCCTTCTGCTGGTATGCTAGGAACATAAGTCATTAATTGTTTCTCACTGCCAGTGTATAAATCATAAACTGGAAAATAAGACTGTAATTATGTGTTTGCACATTTGGATGATTTTTTAAAAGAAATATAAAACGCATTGTACTTCTATTTTTTATTCAATTCATCTTCAAAAATACAGTTTGAATCTTTTATGCTGCCCTAAAACCTGGCTCTCCACATTTCATGGAAATAAAGCTATTAAAATACAATTAAAAGAGTTAAAACTATGTCCAGAAAAGGTCATATCTTTTAATTACTTATTCCAACATCAAATTATTTTTATTATAATGTTTTTATAACACATAAATGCAGTGTCATCCTTTATGTGTCTTGTTCATAGGCATGTTAATGCCACTTGATGAAAAATGCTACTATATTATCCTTACCCAAAATCAAGGATACTTGCTTCTCTCAAATATAATTCAGAACAGATTAGAATAACAGAGTTAGAAGGGACCTTGTAGGTCTTCTAGCCCAATCCCCAGCTCACACAGAAGACCCTATACATTTTCTCAAGGTACTTGTCATCTTAAAACCCTCCAGTGATGGAGCATCCACAACTTCTGAAGGCAAGATGTTCCACTAGTTGATTGTTCTCACTGTTGGGAACTGTGTCCTTAGTTCTAGGTTGGATCTCTCCTTAATTAGTTTCCATAAAACTTTGGTAAAATCAAGTTTTCATAAAACTTAGTTTCCAGTACTCTGATCATCATTATTCTCATTCACAAAAGAAAGAAAGAAAAGAAATCCAGTCACCACATCTCACTCTTACATATTTGATAAGGTTTCTGTGAGCATAAAATTAAAGGATGAATGTTATATGCATCATCTTGAGCTCTTAAAGGACAGGAGGGATAAAAATCTATTAATCTGCACATTCCTGGAGTAGGTAGAACTGTACTGAAATTTAAAATATTAGAAATAGTGGTTTTAGAAAGGTGCTTTGTTTGACTTGCCTTGCTAAGTATAGCAGCAACGTAGTTAGGAATAATTAAAGTAAACATATAACTCACCTCTCCACGCCCCTACAGATAAAATGAGGTCAACTGCAGTGTAATTGGAGAATTGCAAATCTCAATATACACTCTAATTCATTCATTCCCTTTTTGGCATAACACCCTGACTGCTGACCAAGGACTTTCACCTGCAGACCTGATAATTCTGGTCATCTAAAAGGATGCAGATAATACATTCATTAGCTTTACCTTGTTCATACTACCTAGTTCATAATGTCAATAATGCTATTACAATAATAAAATGGGGACAATTTGCATGGCTTCTGGGTCTCTGGTGAGCTAATGTCTATATTCTATAAGCCACTGGTTCTCAAAATGTGGTCTGGGGACTGTCAGGAAGTCTGTGAAGTCAAATATTTTTAAGTGTCTTAGTTTTAATTTCCAGTACAGTAAATATCAGTAGATAAAAGCCACATAAACCAAAGCCTTTGTTGGATCCTCAATCATTTTTTTAAAAAATGTAAAGGGCTCCTGAAAACAAACAATTTAAGGACTGCAGTTATAAGCTACTCTGGGGTTAGACAAGAGGGTGCTCTGCTTCCTTCAGTGATACCATCAGCACACCTTACCTAAATTGTAATAGCAATAGCACTTAGACTTATATACTGCTTCATAGTGCTTTTACAGCCCTCTCTAGGCGGTTTATAGAGTCAGCATATTGCGCCCAACAATCTGGGCGCAATATACCCACCTTGAAAGGATGGAAGGCTGAGTCAGCCTTGAGCCGGTGAGATTTGAACTGCCGAATTGTGGCTAGCACTTAGCTGAAGTAGCCTGCAGTCCTGCACTCTAACCACTGCACCACTTCGGCTCTTTTTATTATTATCCATTTTATTATTATCCATTTATTCTATATTCCCTTTAATTTTTTGCAAACATGTATAAGATCTGTGCTAATGAGTCTTGTGGGTCTTTGTAAGTCCTGGTTAGGAGTCCAGTGATCATTGTATTTTTGCTAACTTAATAGAGAAACTAGTTTGGACCTATCTGGTTGCATTGACTTATTTCTTAAGGTGAGTTTTTGTCATCTCAAATGCATGTAATGAATAGGTTAGGAAACCTGCGTATTTTGTGTGTGTGTGTGTGTGTGTGTGTGTGTGTGCATTCGTGTGATTGCTTTATAGGACAACATCCCTATAAAGACCTTTTTCAGTACTGTCTGAAGTTGTAAAAGGAATGTTTCAATGAAGGGAGAAGATGCTACTTTGCAAACAGACAAAAGAGACAAAAGGTCCCAGTGACTTAATGAGAAATAAACTTAGGAAGGACCTGCCCCAATGAATGAAGCAATTAAAAGTAACGGTAGGAAGTTTATACTTTCCTTCTTGCAATATTATGTTAATGTAGCCTTACAGTAAAGTAGATTTAGTTCATCTAGTCATGTCTGGTTTACCTGGACAGAAGACCTCCTCTATAACCCAGGCGTCTCTTTCTAGGACCTAATTGAAGACATCTGGAGAACAAACCCAGCTGGTGATTCTATAGTGTTAGATTGCTGAGCAGGCTCTTATGTATGGCTCTGGTGCTGCTGTAGTTAGGAGCTTCCTATCCAGAGGTGATATTCAGCAGGTTCTGACGAGTTCTGGAGAACCGGTAGCAGAAATTTTGAGTAGTTTGGAGAAC